ATTGGGATTCAAGTAGGAAGGGAGCGTCTCAGCTTTCTCGGACCAAGACCATTCGACTCAGTACCCCGAAGACTACAACTGGTGAAATTTTTTTTCCCGCACACACATCACATCACATACTCCGGCGCGGCATGCCGCGTGACTGGTTGTTAGTAACCACCCATGCATGCCACCCGTCAGGAGGAGTCTGAGAAAGAGAAAAAAGACGTGTGTGACCATAAATTCATGGAATCGAACCCTACATAATAATTATTAATAATTATTATGTAGTCAGTTACAGACTGTTCACACAGTCACTAGACCGGTCGACCAGTGACCCCTGGCCCAGGGCTGGTCTGTAGGTCATGGTAGACTGCACTGAGTCTGTAGACTGTAGTCGAGTAGGTCTACGAGTGTCGTGTAGATCTACGTGTAGAGACACCATGGAGACTGACTGAGAGTGAGACAGTACAGCTGAGCTACGCCGAGCAGCAAGGCCAAGGCCCAAGCCAAGGGAATGCCGGTACCGCGGTGCCGAGGACCTTCCGGCAAGTAGTTCCGCACCGTGCATGCCGGCCATGCGCCAGTACTCTACTTTACTTATTTATTTGCCGACAGAAAATCTCACACAGACTTTGATACAATGATAGTGCACCTGGTGGCGAGCATTGCTGTGTTGCCTGTCCTCAGCCAGACTAGCGTGGCATCCTGAGTTTCCTGTAAGCGATGCTAGGAGAACGCTACACACTGTTTGCCTCTGAGTCCGAGTGACAACCGTTTGTACTCCTGGAGCATTGTCAGAACCAGCGAGTTGGTGGCGCAACGCGCGAAATCCGCAAGTAGCGTGCTTGTGAAGCAAGTAGCGTGCTTGTGAAGCAAGTAGCGTGCTTGTGAAGGAATGCAGAAGTTCACTATACTATAGTCTACTTTCACATGCCACGACGTATGTTGAAGGGAAGACTTTCTTGCTCGTCTACTGATCTTATCAACTACTTGGACTTGGGATAAAGGTAAGGTGGAAAAAATGGCGGTAAAGTTTCCCTCCTCTTCTCCTTGTTTTCTTTCTTTTTTTACAAATACTGAGGTAAGGACTAAGGGGTGCGCAAGCACTTTAGCGCCTGCCTAGATCCGCAGCTGCGTATAGTGACTGCTGTAAATGGTTTAGTCCCAAAGTGAAGAACCATGGACAAAAAGCCCCAAACATGGAGATACATGTAGGTTATTTTTGGCTTTCAGCTACCCTGGGCGAATTGCCAGTTTAGAGTGATGTGGTTCTTTTGTTGTGCACTAACCTTTGCCCAGCTCTTCGACAAGATCAGGATGGTCACTTTCAGTTTTAGAGCTAACGGGTAGAAGGGTGAGAAAGGTGAAAACAGAAAGGTGAGAAATTGTCGCTTTTTGACCATTTGTGCCCACGTGTCACTTTCAACGTACCTCTCTATAACATGACCGAGTTGTGATGTCAGTGGTCGCATTGATTTGATTTTTGGTTTGCTTGTAGGCCGCTGGCACTTGTATTCAGTGACGCCAAAAATTTGGCACTGCTCTGAATAGTTTAGTCACAAAGTGAAGAATCACGGGCAAAAAGGCCCAAAAATTCGAGATAGGTTGATAACAGCTTTGAGCAGCCCTGGGCGAAGTGTTTATTGAAATGTGGAATTTTTTCTTCGTGCACTTCCCCATGTCCAGCTATACAACAAGATCAGGGTGGCGATGGTCAGTTGTTGAGCTTCAAACGGGGAGAAAGGTGAGAAATTGTCGCTTTTTGACCATTTGTGCCCACGTGTCACTTTCAACGTACCTCTCTATAACATGACCCAGCTGTAAAATGAGTGGTCGCATTGATTTGATTATTGGTTTGTAGGGCTCAAACGGTCACGGTTTTACCCCTGACGATTAACTGCTAAGCTAACGGTCGGTTAACCGGTTATAACCTATAAGCCACGGCAATCCTGCGGACTCTTTTTTAACCGTATATTTGACTATACAGAACTTTGCAGCCTAGAGAGCGTGTGTGGGCAGGCGTGTGTTTACCGCCATATTGCCAGGTGTGTCTTTACCACCATATTTATCAACCGTATATTTGACTATACTCATTTAAAAAATGTACCCTATTCAGTACAACGCACACTTAATTTCTTTTTCTTGCATGCTCATTCATACATACTCTCACACCAAGAGACCAGATATGACCGAGTTGACAGCCCAGAAATTGCGTACGCGTGCGACAGCCCGCGAAAGTGCACACTTTGCAACGACCTGATACTTGAAAAATTGACTGAAAAGTTACTGCGTAACCGTTATCTTTATCGGTTAACCGTTAATTCTTCGTAACCGGTCTGCAACCGGTTAATCGGACTAATCGTTTGAGCCCTATTGGTTTGCTTGTAGGCCGCTGGCACCCGCATTCAGTGACGGCAAAAATTTGGCAGTGCTGTGAATAGTTTAGTCGCAAAGTGAAGAATCACGGGCAAAAAGGCCCAAAACTTCGAGATAGGTTGATTTCAGCTTTGAGCAGCCCTGGGCGAAATGTTTATTGAAATGTGGAATTTTTTCTTGGTGCACTTCCCTATGTCCAGGTATGCAACAGGATCAGGGTGGCGATGGTCAGTTGTTGAGCTTCGAACGGGCAGAAAGGTGAGAAATTGTCGCTTTTTGACCATTTGTGCCCACGTGTCAATTTCAACGTACCTCTCTATAACATGACCCAGCTTTGATGTGAGTGGTCGCATTGATTTGACTTTTCGTTTGCTATGAGAGTGTGAAGCATGCAATCTTATAAGAGAAAATTCCATGAGAGTGTGACGCATGCATGATGAGAGAGGAGAGATAGATTCGAGATAGAGAGAGATAGAGATAGATAGATAGATAGATAGAGAGAGAGAGAGAGAGAGAGAGAGAGAGAGAGAGAGAGAGGGAGAGAGAAAGATAAAGATAAAGAGAGAGACTGCTTTATTGCCTGGACAAGTGAATTGTCCAAGCTCTTACAAAATGACCAACAACAACAGCAACGGCAACAACAACAGCAACAGCGACAACAACAACAGCAACAGCGACAACACAGCAGCAACAACAAGAGAGAGAGAGAGAGATGGAGAGAGAGAGAAGGAGAGAGAGAGAGAGAGAGAGAGAGAGAGAGAAAGAGGAGAGAGACGGCTTTACTACCTGGACAAGGTAATTGTACAAGCTGTCACAAAATGACCAACAGCAACAGCAACAACAACGACAGCAGCAGCAACAACAACAACAACAACAACAACAACAACAACAACAACAACAACAACAACAACAGCAACAGCAACAACAACAACAACAACATAATGACGACAGGCAGGGAAGAGGAATATCAAAGCGCACAAGAAACACTGTTCAGTCACAACTCAGTGGCATTGATATGAGCATTGCCAGCGCCGTGCCCCTCAATCTAGTCTAGGCTCTAGCCTAGGCCAGGGCCGAGCAGATCTACTAGTACTAGTAGGCTCTTAGCCTCTTGTCGAGTGATGGAGCTCCGGACTCGAGGTGGAGGTTGATAAGTGCCAGACTTCGAGGCGGAACTGAACAGCTGGCTGGCTGGACAGATTTGCACGGAGTCTGTTCAGACGTGTGCTGCATCGTACTTGTAAAATCAAGCTGATGTATCACGACTGCTACAGTACTACTAGCAAGGCAGCTAGAAATAGGTAGACATGGTATAGCTCTTTGCTGATGAGCCCTTACCCCCCCCCCCCCACACCTACCTTCTCGGTATGACAGACTGTACTCAGTAGTCATGGTATTAGCAGGGAGTAGTAAAATACATACTACTCCCTGGTATTAGTGATACTTCTACCATAAGCCTTGTAGGTCTACTATGTTAGAATAGACATGGTTAGCATTTTACCGTTCACGCTATTTCGACGGTCGGCGTGTAGAGGGCGAGTCTACTGTTTTTTGATGTGTTTTCGAGACAGTTCGGTTTCTGAGTCCTGACTCCTGACGCAACGATAGACGTGTGAGGTAACCCTAGTTGGAATCTTACCGTTTCGTTCTCCCGCTAAAAAGAGCTTTCTATCGTCGAAACGGTACCAAACCGACGGTATTTTGGGTTTGGGGTACGAGTGCCGTTACGTTGGATCTAGCGCGTGAATTGTAAAAAGTAATATGAGTGGCTGCATTGATTTGATTTTTGGTTTGCTAGTAGGCCGCTGGCACCCGCATTCAGTGACGCCTAAAATTTGGCACTGCTGTGAATAGTTTAGTCGCAAAGTGAATAATCACGGGCAAAAGGCCCTAAACTTCGAGATAGGTTCTTTTCAGCTTTGACCAGCCCTTGGCGAGTTGTTTATTGAAATGTGGCATTATTTCTTGGTGCACTTCCCTATGTCTAGCTATACAACAAGATCAGGGTGGCGATGGTCAGTTGTTGAGCTTCGAACGGGGAGAAAGGTGAGAAATTGTCGCTTTTTGACCATTTTTGCCCACGTGTCACTTTCAACGTACCTCTCTATAACATGACCTAGCTGTAATATGAGTGGTCGCATTGATTTGATTTTTGGTTTGCTTGTAGGCCGCTGGCACCCGCATTCAGTGACGGCGAAAATTTGGCACTGCTGTGAATAGTTTAGTCGCAAAGCGAAGAATCACGGGCAAAAAGGCCCTAAACTTCGAGATAGGTTGATTTCAGCTTTGACCAGCCCTGGGTGAAGTGTTTATTGAAATGTGGAATTTTTTCTTGGTGCACTTCCCTGTGTCCAGCTATACAACAAGATTAGTATGGCGATGGTCAGTTGTTGAGCTTCGAACGGGCAAAAAGGTGAGAAATTGTCGCTTTTTGACCATTTGTGCCCACGTGTCACTTTCAACTTACTTCAGTGCTGTGAATAGTTTAGTCGCAAAGTGAAGAATCACGGGCAAAAAGGCCCAAAACTTCGAGATAGGTTATTTTCACCTTTGACCAGCCCTTGGCGAGTTGTGTATTGAAATGTGGCATTTTTTCTTGGTGCACTTCCCTATGTCCGGCTATACAACAAGATCAGGGTGGCGATGGTCAGTTGTTGAGCTTCGAACGGGCAGAAAGGTGAGAAATTGTCGCTTTTTGACCATTTGTGCCCACGTGTAACTTTCAACGTAGCTCTCTATAACATGACCCAGCTGTAATATGAGTGGTCGCATTGATTTGATTTTTGGTTTGCTTGTAGGCCGCTAGCACCCGCATTCAGTGACGCCAAAAATTTGGCACTGCTGTGAATAGTTTAGTCGCAAAGTGAAGAATCATGGGCAAAAAGGCCCAAAACTTCGAGGTAGGTTGATTTCAGCTTTGAGCAGCCCTGGGCGAAGTGTTTATTGAAATGTGGAATTTTTTCATGGTGCACTTCCCATGTCCAGCTATATAACAAGATCAGGGTGGCGATGGTCAGTTGTTGAGCTTCGAATGGGCAGAAAGGTGAGAAATTGTCGCTTTTTGACCATTTGTGCCCACGTGTCACTTTCAACGTACCTCTCTATAACATGACCCAGCTGTAATATGAGTGGTCGCATTGATTTGATTTTTGGTTTGCTTGTAGGCCGTTGCTGTCCGCCGTTTCCGGATGTTGGGTCATGTTCTGAGGATGCCCTCAGATGCCCCGCCACAGCAGGCAATGGACAACTACTTCCGTCGAGATGTCACCGGTGTGCGTGGACGCCCGAAATCGAACCTGGCCACGGCAGTCAAGGCAAGCACAGCTGCCAGAGACATGCCACTGAAGACCATGACTGATCTGAGTGGGCTCAGAATGCGCGCTTTGGACAAGCAATCATGGAGGGAACTCTCAGCCTGAGCTGGTTTTGCTCGCGGCTGCAACGCACGGGGTAGTGAACCCAGGACAGAAGCGGACCAGGCATCATGACTTTGCACATCTATCGTTATGCTGCTTCATTACGCGACCTGTTTTATTATTATTATTATTATTATTTGTAGGCCGCTGGCACCTGCATTCAGTGACGCCAAAAAATTGGCACTGCTGTGAATAGTTTAGTCGCAAAGTGAAGAATCATGGGCAAAAAGGCCCAAAACTACGAGGTAGGTTGATTTCAGCTTTGAGCAGCCCTGGGCGAAGTGTTTATTGAAATGTGGAATTTTTTCATGGTGCACTTCCCATGTCCAGCTATATAACAAGATCAGGGTGACGATGGTCAGTTGGCGAGCTTCGAACGGGCAGAAAGGTGAGAAATTGTCGCTTTTTGACCATTTGTGCCCACGTGTCACTTTCAACGTACCTCTCTATAACATGACCCAGCTGTAATATGAGTGGTCGCATTGATTTGCTTTTTGGTTGGCTTCTAGGCCGCTGGCACCCGCATTCAGTGACGACGAACACTTGGCACTGCTGTGAATAGTTTAGTCGCAAAGTGAAGAATCACGGGGAAAAAGGCCCAAAACTTCGAGATAGGTTGATTTCAGCTTTGAGCAGCCCTTTGCGAAGTGTTTATTGAAATGTGGATTTTTTTCTTGGTGCACTTCCCTATGTCCAGCTATACAACAAGATCAGGGTGGCGATGGTCAGTTGTTGAGCTTCGAACGGGCAGAAAGGTGAGAAATTGTCGCTTTTTGACCATTTGTGCCCACGTGTCACTTTCAACGTACCTCTCTATAACATGACCCAGCTGTAATATGAGTGGTCGCATTGATTTGATTTTTGGTTTGCTTGTAGGCCGCTGGCACCCGCATTCAGTGACGGTGAAAATTTGGCAGAGTTGTGAAAAGTTTAGTCGCAAAGTGAAGAATCACGGGCAAAAAGGCCCTAAACATCGAGGTAGGTTGATTTCAGCTTTGAGCAGCCCTGGGCGAAGTGTTTATTGAACTTGATGTGGAATTTTTCTTGGTGCACTTCCCTGTGTCCAGCTATGCAACAGAATCACGGTGGCGATGGTCAGTTCTTGAGCTTTGAACGGGCAGAAAGGTGAGAAATTGTCGCTTTTTGACCATTTGTGCCCACGTGTCACTTCCAACGTACCTCTCTATGACATAACCCAGCTGTGATGTGAGTGGTCGCTTTAATTTCATTTTTGGTTTTCTTGTAGGCCGCTGGCACCCGTATTCAGTGACGCCAAAACTTTGCCACTGCTGTGAATAGTTTAGTCGCAAAGTGAAGAATCACAGGCAAAAAGGCCCAAAACTTTGAGATAGGTTGATAACAGCTTTGAGCAGCCCTGGGCGAAGTGTTTATTGAAATGTGGATTTTTTTCTTGGTGCACTTCCCTGTGTCCAGCTATACAACAAGATCAGGGGGGCGATGGTCAGTTGTTGAGCTTCGAACGGGCAGAAAGGTGAGAAATTGTCGCTTTTTGACCATTTGTGCCCACGTGTCACTTTCAACGTACCTCTCTATACCATGACCCAGCTATAAAATGAGTGGTCGCATTGAATTGATTTTTGGTTTGCTTGTAGTCCGCTGGCACCCGCATGCAGTGACGGCGAAAATTTGGCACTGCTGTGAATAGTTTAGTCGCAAAGTGAAGAATCACGGGCAAAAAGGCCCTAAACTTCGAGATAGGTTGATTTCAGCTTTGAGCAGCCCTGGGTGAAGTGTTTATTGAAATGTGGAATTTTTTCTTGGTGCACTTCCCTGTGTCCAGCTATACAACAAGATCAGGGTGGCGATGGTCATTTGTTGATCTTCGAACGGGCAAAAAGGTGAGAAATTGTCGCTTTTTGACCATTTGTGCTCACGTGTCACATGTAGCTGGACATAGAAGATAGCACCATGAAAAAGAGCCACATTTCTCTAAAGAACTCACCCAGGGCTGCTGAGAGCTGAAAAAGAACCTATCTAGAAGTTTGGGGCTTTTTACCCGTGAATCTTCACTTTGCGACTAAACTATCCACAGCAGTGCCAAATTTTCTGGGTCACTGAATGCGGTTGCCAGCGCCCTACAAGCAAACCAAAAATGAAACCAATGCGACCATTGAAATTACAGCTGGGTCATGTTATAGAGAGGTACGTTGAAGTTGAAAGGTCAGCACAAATGGTCAAAATCCGACATTTTCTCACCTTTCTGCCCGTTCGCAGCTCAGAAAATGACAATGACCATCCTCATCTCGTTGTGTAGCTGGACATAGAAAATAGCACCATGAAAAAGACCCACATTTCTCTAAAGAACTCACCCAGGGCTGCTGAAAGCTGAAAAAGAACCTATCTAGAAGTTTGGGGCTTTTTACCCGTGAATCTTCACTTTGCGACTAAACTATTCACAGCAGTGCCAAATTTTCTGGGTCACTGAATGCGGGTGCCAGCGCCCTACAAGCAAACCAAAAATCAAACCAATGCGACCACTGAAATTACAGCTGGGTCATGTTATAGAGAGGTACGTTGAAATTGAAAGGTCAGCACAAATGGTCAAAATCCGACATTTTCTCACCTTTCTGCCCGTTCGCAGCTCAGAAAATGACAATGACCATCCTCATCTCGTTGTGTAGCTGGACATAGACAAGAACACCAAGAAAAAGACCCACATTTCTCTAAAGAACTCACCCAGGGCTGCTGAAAGCTGAAAAAGAACCTATCTTGAAGTTTGGGGCTTTTTACCCGTGAATCTTCACTTTGCGACTAAACTATTCACAGCAGTGCCAAATTTTCTGGGTCACTGAATGCGGGTGCCAGCGCCCTACAAGCAAACCAAAAATCAAACCAATGCGACCACTGAAATTACAGCTGGGTCATGTTATAGAGAGGTACGTTGAAATTGAAAGGTCAGCACAAATGGTCAAAATCCGACATTTTCTCACCTTTCTGCCCGTTCGCAGCTCAGAAAATGACAATGACCATCCTCATCTCGTTGTGTAGCTGGACATAGAAAATAGCACCATGAAAAAGAGCCACATTTCTCTAAAGAACTCACCCAGGGCTGCTGAAAGCTGAAAAAGAACTTATCTAGAAGTTTGGGGCTTTTTACCCGTGAATCTTCACTTTGCGACTAAACTATCCACCGCAGCGCCAAATTTTCTGGGTCACTGAATGCGGGTGCCAGCGCCCTACAAGCAGACCAAAAATGAAACCAATGCGACCACTGAAATTGCAGCTGGGTCATGTTATAGAGAGGTACGTTGAAATTGAAAGGTCAGCACAAATGGTCAAAATCCGACATTTTCTCACCTTTCTGCCCGTTCGCAGCTCAGAAAATGACAATGACCATCCTCATCTCGTTGTGTAGCTGGACATAGAAAATAGCACCATGAAAAAGAGCCACATTTCTCTAAAGAACTCACCCAGGGCTGCTGAAAGCTGAAAAAGAACCTATCTAGAAGTTTGGGGCTTTTTACCCGTGAATCTTCACTTTGCGACTAAACTATTCACAGCAGTGCCAAATTTTCTGGGTCACTGAATGCGGGTGCCAGCGCCCTACAAGCAAACCAAAAATGAAACCAATGCGACCACTGAAATTACAGCTGGGTCATGTTATAGAGAGGTACGTTGAAATTGAAAGGTCAGCACAAATGGTCAAAATCCGACATTTTCTCACCTTTCTGCCCGTTCGCAGCTCAGAAAATGACAATGACCATCCTCATCTCGTTGTGTAGCTGGACATAGACAAGAACACCAAGAAGAAGAGCCACATTTCTCTAAAGAACTCACCCAGGGCTGCTGAAAGCTGAAAAAGAACCTACAGTAAAACCTGTAACTAAAGACCACCGTGACTAGCGACCAGCCTGGTACTACAGACCACTTTGTCAGGCACGGACGGTCTCACATTCAAAATTCACTGTGACTAGCGACTACCTGCTGAACGCGACCAGCGACCGCCTTTTCTTGTCCCAAAGACGATTTTTGACCCGTAACTAGCGACCGCGATGTAGGAAATCAAGTGTTGCTCGAAGTTCCTTCTTGATATTTTGATGATTTTCCGTGGTCCTGAAAGGAATCTTTCGATACCACAGCTGAAGAAATGAACGCTGGTCATTTTGACTGTGGAGTCGGTGTGGACTGCACTGCACTTGTCAGAATTTCAAGCGCTGGCAAGAATAAACATGATAGGAAACGTCTTGGAGAGCGCATCGAAAGCGCTCTCTGATCGATGTTACTACTAGGAGGAGAAACGAAGACTGAGCGGCTCTGTCACCCCAGTCATACAGACGAATCGACGATGGCATCAAGGAATCCAGAAACAAAGCAGCACCGCAAGATCCTGATGCTGAAGGATCGCGTTCAAGCAATCGAGAAGTTGCAACAAGGACAGTCGGTACGATTGATCGCATGAACAAATTTGAAGCCCAGCGCAAAACGAAACTGTCACAAGGAACGTTTGTCCTGGCTTCAGAAGTAGGAGCTGAATTTGATGTCCGCAAAAAAATTAATCTTCTCTCTCTCTCTCTCTGCCTCTCTCCATCTATCCGTCTTTCTCTCCAAGTGTTGTTTGACCTGAAATAAGAATGGCATTGCGCAAGTCTTGGGGAATTGTATTAGCTGCATTTTGATATACATATCAAATAAGGCCAAACTAAAGAAGGTGTGTGGTTCGACTAACATGGACATTTTTTTTACGGGCGGGCGGGCGGATTTTTTTTTTTAATGTATTTTTTAGTACATGTAAATACACTGTACTGCCTTTAGACACCCAGTACATCGGCATTATTACGCAGTGTTATGCCATACATGTTGTATAAAGGGATCACTGGCTAATACTTTGAAACATTGTGTAGCTCTGGAACGAGAAGAGAATAACTTCAAGCGGTGACTCTGACTGTCCAAATCATCAAGCAAATGAAGAACGATGCGAGTTGAAAGTAAGTTCGGGAACTACTTCGAAGTACAAATTGTACAATGTACCGGTACATGTATTGCTAGTTTGGTGTCGGCGTGCGAATACATGGGCTTTTTCCATCGACGCTTCCTGTGCTTGCACACATGGAGCAGCAACTAACTTACCGGTACAGTTGAAATATCGTTCCCAATACACGAGGAAAGTGCA